GGCACTCTACCAAGGGCAACATAGTAAGACTCTGTCTCCAAAATAAATAAATAACAATAAAAAATAAATAAAATGGCTGTACTATTTTGCATTGCCACAGTGGTATGTAAATGTTCCAGCTGCCCCACATCTTTGCCAACACTTAGTATTGTCAGTCCTTTAAACTTCTGCTATTGTAGTTGGTAGCACTATAGCTTTAAGATTCTGTTCATGTTGCTATGTGTACTTCTGGATTGTTGCTTTTAACTGCTGCGTAGTCTTCTGTGGTGGATATCCACCTTATCCTACTACTCTCTCCTTCATTTCATTAATGGACACCCCAGTTTTCTTTAATTTCTACTGTAGCAAATAACTCTGTGACAGATACCTCATATTTGCCCCTTTGCAACCTGCATAATTATTTTTCTCATGTAGACATCCAGGAATGGAAGTACTTGGTTCTATAGCATGCATATATTTAATTCAATCAAGGGATGTCAAATTACTTCCCCAAATAACTTCACCGTTCTAAATTCATGCCAGCTGTGTACAAGGGTGCCTGTGCTTCCACATCCCTGTAATACTTGGGTTTATTTAAACTTTCAAATCTTTTTAAAATCCATCTAATAAATGTAAAGTGATATGTCATTAATATTTGTGTTTGCATTTGCATTTTTTAGCTAGCTAATGAGTCTAACCATCTTTTCATATGAGTTTTTTTGGGGGGGATCCTTTTATATAAATATCCTTTTCAAATTCTTTGCTCATTTATTTGCAGGAATTTCTAGCTTATTTGAGATAGCCATCCTGAGTCAACAGTTCAGATTTTGAATCTCGTCTCCCAGCCTGCTTTGTCCACAGTGTCTTTTGTTGAAAAGAAACCCTTAACTTGTATATAATCAAACCTTTTATTTTTTTGCCTTTAGTCCTTATGAAGTTTTAAAAAGTCCTTCCTCATCCCTAAGTTGCAAAAATGTTCTCTGCCATTATCTTCTATTAACGTTGTAGTTTGACCTTTTCTTTTCTTTTCTTTTCTTTTTTTTTTTGAGACAGGAGCCTCAAGCTGTCCCCCTGGTGGAGTGTTGTGGCATCACAGCTCATAGCAACCTCCAACTCCTGGGCTCAAGTGAGTCTCCTGCCTCAGCCTCCCAAGTAGCTGGAACCACAGGCACCTGCCACAACGCCTGGCTATTTTTTGGTTGCAGCCGTCATTGTTGTTTGGCGGGCCCAGGCTGGATTCAAACTCGCCACCTTGGGTGTATGTGGCTGGCACCTTAGCCACTTGAGCCACGGGCACCGAGCCTGTTTGACTTTTTCCTTGTAGGTCTTAAAGCCAGAGTCTCACTCTATTGCCAGGGCTGGAGTGTAGTGGTCCAATCATAGCTCACTCCAACCTTGAACACCTGGGCTCAAGTGACCCTCTCACTGCAGCCTCCTCAATAGCTAAGACTATAGATGCATGCCACCAAACCTGGCTGATTTAAATTTTTTTTTTCTTTCTTAGAGATAGCTGTCACTATTTGCCCAGGCTGGTCTCAAACTCCTCAGTAACCTGGTGGGTAATCTTCCCACCTCAGACAGACCTTCTGAATCACTTGGAATTATAGATGTGAAGCACCACGCCCATCTCCACGTACCATTGTTCTATCTGTTTGAGTGATGGGAAAACTGAAGCACAAAGAAGGTGAGTAACTCTAAGGTTGTACAATTCAGTAAGTGACAGAACTGGGATTCAAACACAGACAGCCTGGCCTCCAAAACTGTGTACCTTAGCTACTCTGTCATCTTGCTTCTCCATTGACGAGGATCCATGATTCAGAAATTGCTGCGTGTAGAGGCTTTAAATGCCAATCTTTCACTCAGTCCTTTGACAATCCTGAGTAGCAGGGCCTGTTATTACCCAGATGAGGGAACTGAGGTTTCCAAAATGTAAAGTGGTGAAACCAGATCTTTCTTACTCCACCCTCTGTGCTTTTGAACATGAACCTATAGTCTCCCCTAGTAAGAACCAGGAGTGAAGGAAGAACCATCCTCCCTTCTCCCTATAATCCCTGCAGATAGAGTTGATCCTCATTCATGGATTACATACTTTCAAATTTGCCTACTTGACAAAATCTACAGGTAGCACCCAGAATGATCTTCTCAGGGCTTTTGTGGCCATTGCTGACATGCATAGAGTGGTGAACAATTCAAGTTGCCCTATAGGCACACTCCTCACTGAGGCTGACCAAGGTGACACTCTGCCTACTCAGTTCAGCTCTCATATGCAAACAAGAGTCACTTTTATGGACTAGCTACTGCCAGGCTTGTCACCTTTTGTGCTTTTGGTTGGTGATTCACTGTTTAAAATGGCTCCATGCCAGGCTTGGTGGCTCACGCCTGTAATCCTAGCTCTTTTGGAGGCTGAGGCAGGAGGATCACTTGAGTTGCTTAAGGCCAGGAATTGGAGACTAGCCTGAGCAAGAGTGAGATTTCATCTCTACAAAAAGTAGAAAAACTAGCTTGGCATTGTGGTGGGTACCTGTAGTCCCAGCTCCTCTGGAGACTGAGGCAAGAGGATTGCTTAAACCCAAGAGTTTGAGGTTTCTGTGAGCTATGATGGCACCGCAGTACTCTGCCTTGGGCAATAGAGTGAGACTCAAAAATACACAAACAAACAAACAGTCTTTAAAGAGAAACACACATAGCACAATGTTACATATGGGTCAATTAATCAACACATTGTGACTAGAGGCTCACAGGAACCTAACTCGGTATTTCCACCCTAGGAGCAATACCTTAGTATTTGCTAATTCAGTGTTTGAGGTGACTTTATAAACCCTAACTACTGCCAGACACAGAGGCTTACGTCTATAATCCCAGCACTCTGAGAGGCCGAGTGGACATATTGCTTGAGGTCAGGAGTTCAAAACCAACCTGAACAAGAGTGAGACCCCATCTCTAAAAATAGAAAAACTAGCTGGGTGTGGTGGCAGGGGCCAGTAATTCCACCTACTCGAGAGGCTGAGGCAGGAGGATTGCTCAAATCCAGGAGTTTGAGGTTGCTGTGAGCTAGGCTGACGCCATGGCACTCTAGCCTGGGTGACAGAATGAGACTCTGTCTCAAAACAAACACGGAAAAATAACTACTGTGAAGAATGAGAATCAATTGTATCCCTAAGTTTCTTTAGTGTTACTGTAAAACTCTCACTCTAATCCATCCACAGCTCTTCTTTTTTTCTTTTTTTTTTTTTTGAGACAATCTTACTAAGTTGCCCTTGATAGAGTGCTATAGTGTCATAGCTCACAGCAACTTCAAACTCTTGGGCTTAAGCGATTCTCTTGCCTTAGCTTGCCAAGTATCTGGAACTATAGGAGCCAGCCACAACGCCCAGCTATTTGTTGTTGTTGTTGTTGCAGTTGTCATTGTTGTTTAGCTGGCCCCAGGCAGGTTTGAACTTACCAGCCTTGGTGTATGTGGCTGGCGCCATAGCCACCCACAGCTCTTCATTGCTGTTGGCCAAGCCCAACTATCATGCAGAACCCTCTATGCTGGCCTCCCAGCTCCCACCATTCCCTCCCCCGCTCTGCTTTGTCTTCTTTTCCCCACCCAGCAGCTAGAGTGATGAGTGGATCTCCCAGATGATTCCTTCCCTCTCACCCTTCCTGAGGAGCTCCCCATCACAAGGCCAACCTCCTCAGCAGGATGAGATTCTGTTTATTTGGTTTCAGCTGAGTCCTCACCCCTAACCCAATATTCCCTCTCCTTCCTTCCTGCTTCACTTCTTCCCAGGGCTTGCATTACTACCATATGGTTTATTTCTTATTAATCCTTTTTGGTTTTTTTTATGGTGTCACTCCAAAAAGAATGTAAGCTCTACAAGGATAGATGCTTTTGTCTCTTTAATTCACTACTTATCTCCTGCGTCTTCAACAGGGCCTGGCTTATGATAGATACCAATATTTGTTCAATAAATAAACAGAATTGTATTTACCAACACCTGGGCAAGTTCCCAGTGTACATGGTCAGCACAGAATAGGTGTCTGCCAAGGAAAGTGAGTAAGCATAACACATTTTTTGGACACTGAGGATTTGAGGGATTATTAAATTAATATCCTAAGGTAATAATTTATAGGAAACCATGCAAATTATATCAGTGGTAAGACATTCATCCTTGTAATGACCCTACAAGGAACAATTACAAGCCCATTTTACAGATGAGAAACCAGAGAAGCTGTGAGTTTTATGATTTGTCCACAGCAAGAACTTGCAAGGAACATTGAGGAGGGATGCTCGTGGAGGAGATACAGAAAGGAATATTTGGTAGACAGTACAGTTCGGGCATGAAGACTCTTTGGGGTGTTAAACCCTATAACTCTAGACTAGAGTGCCATTGATCTTTAGTAAGGATGAGGATTCCGAGAGAGGGAATGTTGGCAGAAGCTGGGTATTGGTAGGATGTGAGATGTATGTTGGATCAGGACATCTGAGATACTCAGAACAGTGTGAGAATGAACAGTGTGAGGACGAACTAGCTGTGATGAATCACTCAGAAGTGCACAGAATGTTGTAGGGGCAGAATATTGTGGGCACAAGAGAATATTTTCAGGATGAACTATCACAGGAGTCTTGAACCTTCCTGTAAAACACAGAAGGGCATTGAATAAATATTTGCAGGGTTACAAGATGCCAAGGATGGTTCATTCACAGGACATCCTATTGTTGAGATGGGCAGATGGAGATACTTAAGAATGTTGCCACAGAACGCGCAGGTGGTGGTCATGCTGATAAAGTAGGGAGAACCGGAACATCATCTGAATTGGGACATTCGGGTTGTCAGGATGTTTTAGGGAGGCAACATCTGGTAGACCACAGGGTAGGCAGTGCCCGAATGCTTCAGAAACATGTCAGCTGGGATCCAGCATTTTTGAGAATGTGGATCACTGGTTTAAGTAGAACTCTGGGAGGAAGCGGCAGAGAAGGGCTGAGCCAATGACGTGAGGAGGTCATGGGGAGAGAAAGAAAGCAGGTAAATGAACATAAGTTTTATTATGGATCCTTTGTCCGTATCTGCTCCTGGGTTTTATGTTTTTGGATTGTTTCACGGATCCAGGAGACATATCTCGAGACTCGGGTGTAGACACCAGGTCGGTCGGGCTGTCCACATGGGAAGTCTCCCCAGGAGATGATGCCATGGAGTGTTCCATTACAGACCAGGGGGCCCCCAGAGTCACCCTGAGTGGGGGAGAGAGAAAAAGATGGAATCTTTGCTAGGGCTAAACCAACATACAGATGGGAATATGTGGGAGAGAGAGAAAGATGGAGAGAGAGACACAGAGATGAAGTCAGACACACACAGAGCAGCAGAGCAGTGAGAAACAGAGATAAGAAGACAGACACAGAGGGACAAGTGTTTCTCTCTTTTTCTCTGTTCCTTAGTTTCATTAAAATCATTCATCCAGTCTGGCGAGGTGGCTCACACCTGTAATCCTAGCATGAGCTCATGAGTTGGAGACCAGTTTAAGCAAGAGTGAGACCCTGTCTTCACTAACAGAAAAACTAGCCCAGCATTGTGGTGGGCTCCTGTAGTCCCAGCCACTTGAGAAGCTGAGACAAGAGACTCACTTAAGCCCAAGAGTTTGAGGTTGCTGTGAGCTATGACACCATAGCACTCTAGCCTAGGGTAACAGAGTGAGACTCTGCCTCAAAAAATAAGAAAAGGGAAGGGAAGGGGAAGGGGAAGGGAAGGGAAGGGAAAAATCATACACCGGTTCTTGTTTCCCTGGCCTTGAACCCCACCTTGCGGTCCTGTACTTTATCAGCTGACCCTGCTCCTGCTTTAAGGTTTCTTTGTACCTCTTACTATGGCATTAACCCATCCAAACCCAGGGAGGGTATGCGACACACATGTACCTCCGCTGCTCCCTCTGGACCCAAGGTAGTCATTACTGAGCTCTCAAGGCACGTTAAAGTAGTACCAGCTCTTTCTCATTGAACCAATGCAGAAGCCTTCCCTGTAGACATTGGCTGTTTTTTGCTCATGTGATATCCTTCTCCCCTTGTTTTGGTAATAACCTCCTGATTTTTTTCATCTGGGGAACTGCCCTATCCCACTCCCAATCCATGCAGTTTTTCCCCATCCCTCTCTGGCTCCCACAGTTAACTATGTGACTAAAGTTGGTCCATCAGAGACTCCCACAGCCCTGGCCCAGGATGATGGCTCAGGACATGTGACTTATGCCAGCATAGTGAGAATCACTCTGGCTCTATGTAAACTAATAAAAATGAGATGTTCTCTCCACTAAGATTGCTTAGAAGGGAGGGTATAAGCTCAGAGCTGTCGGGGCCATCTTGCTATGAGAAAAGCCTAACTGAGAATGAAGACAAAGCACAGAAAAGAATACTCCAAAAATAAAATTCGCACACCAGGTTTCACCTGTGCCTAAACTCAGACACTCCTCAACTTTTTTTTTTTTTTTTTGAGACAGAGTCTCACTTTGTCGCCGTTGGTAGAGTGGCATGATGTCATGGCTCACAGCCACCTCAAACTCTAGTTAATTTTTAGTTACAAAAGCCAAAGAATTTTTTTGTTTTGTTTTTGATTTTTTGTTTGTTTGTTTGATTTTGCTTAAGCCAGTATGACTTGGGTCTCTGTCACTTGCAACTAAAAGAATACCACCCTTCATGTATCTCAACAGAGAGCTCCGGACACCTAGTCAAAGCTGGGGTTCATGATGAGTTATATCTGCCATTGCAGATATAAATCCTGGTTCCCCCAAGGCTGGAAGTAAACTCCTCTCCCCTGAGTATTTTTCCCCACCCCCATCTTGGCTTCCCATCCTGGCCACTGCAACCCACCCCTCTCTTGGCCTCACCTCACAGGAGTCCTTGCCACCCTCTTTGGTGCCGGCACACAGCATGTTGGGGGTGATCTTTCCTGGGTAGACCTGACGGCACTCCTCATCTGAGCGCAGCTGGATGTTGGCACACTGTAGCGTTTTGGGGTAACTCACTGGTGAGGAGAGAGAAGAGGTCTAAGGACTTCTGACTCAGATGCGCTGTCGGGTGGGGGCTGAATAGGAAAGTTGGATGACAGAATTGGGAGAAAATAGAGATGGAAAGAGAACTAAAGGGGGAAAGATGGGCTCGTATGGGGGGAGAGTGAGGGAAGAGACAGACATATGGAGAGACATGGGAAGGAGGTGGAGGGAAAAATAAGAAACGTAGAGGGAAGGATGGGAGGGATAGGACAGAGAACTAACCGAAGAGGAAAGGGGTGGAGCCAGTGATGGGAAGAGATAGAGAACTGGACACTGGAAAGTAGGAGAGCCAGAAAGAGGTGTGGGAGCGCTGAACAGAGTAGCCAGAAGAGAGAAGGGAAAGACTCGGATATGAGACAGGGGAGAGAACTTGGGGCTGCTAAGGATGTCCAAAGGGTTCTTGTTGGTATACATGCCAACTTTACATTCACATACATGTAACTTACATATAAAGTACATATTTATGTTTCATCACATTTAATCAATATTAATAAATACTAATCATTAAATTATTACAAATTAATATTAATAAATACACACTTATCCATATGTTAAATGTATTTTATAAATCATAAAATCTAGAAATAATACACTTATAATTTATATATTACAAATGATAAGATTCATTTATAGTGAATGGTGCCTGTAGCTCAGTGGGTAAGGGTGCTGGCCACGTACACTGAGGCTGGCAGGTTCAAACCTGGCCCGGGCCAACTAAAAAACAATGACAACTGAAACAAAAAAAAACAGCTGGGAGGTGTGGGGGTTGCCTGTAGTCCCAGCTACTTGGCAGGCTGAGGCAAGAGAATTGCTTTAGTCCAAGAGTTTGAAGTTGCTGTGAGCTGTGATGCCATTACACTCTACCCAGGGCAACAGCTTAAGACTCTGTCTCAGAAAAAAAAAAAGATTCATTTATAGTATATATTATGTGATATTATATAAAATGTATGTATTTATAAAATACATTATAATATATAATTGAAATATTATATAATATATACATTATAGATACATTACACATTAGATACAGAGTTCTATATTTTATAATTTATAAAATGCATTTAATTCAATTTATATAACATAATATATACAAATTATATTACTTTAGAATATCTAATCTATATTATATCACATAATATCTAATATATAGTATATATTAGATAATATATACTATAATTATAATAAAATTATATTTTTATAATTATATTTATATATAATTTATATAATAAAATTTATGTAATAAAATTATAATTATATAATATATATTTTATAGATTTACGTTTATATACAGGATATATCTACCCTTAATTTACACAGTAGCACCTCCGATGATTGACCACCCACAGGACTGTAACAAACTGGCCAACATAAAAAACTAGGCCTACTATACTGATAGGTACATGTGGTGCATGTCTAGTTTATGAAAATCAGGTCAACTTAAAGAGGTGGTCAGCTATGGAGGTTCTACTCTCTATATATTTACACATATTATTATATATAAAAGAATCTTCCTCCAACTTTCTTTCCCATCTCTGCCCCAGTTTCCCTAGATACTCCTGGGGACCTCAGGCCATCTATATAAATGCTTACCCTGGGGGCTTGTGGTGGTGCCCCAGCCAGACACACGACAGCAGGTGCCAGGGAGTGGGTAGTCATTGTGGGAAAGGGGCAGGATACGAACATGGCCTGTGAGCTGGACCGGGGATTGTAGTTCTAGAAGCATGATGTCGTGGTCATGGTTCAGGTGAGTGGGGCTGCTCCGGTATTCAGGATAGGGGATAGAGCGGACCACCTCTCTCACCTGCTCACTGGCCTCCACACGCCCGAGGGCATGCTTGCCCAGGTAAACTTTGTAGCCTCTGTGGGTGGAGGAAGGAGGTGGTTAGGGGGAAGACGAACTCATCCCTATGCCAGCCCCAGCCTCGTTCCCATCCCTCCTTCCTCGTCTCCAAACACATCTCCATCCCCATCCCCATCCTCAACTCTAATCCCATCCAAATTCCTAAACCTCTTCTTACCCCCATGCCCATCCCCAACTCTAACTCCAATCCCATCCTTAAACCCAACTTCACCCCTCCTGTCATCCCTATTCCATGCTCCCTTTGCCCCTACATACTCCTTTAGACAGTGTGCTGCAGTGAGGACCCATCTGGGGTGGACCAGGACTCCACCACAGAGTAGCCGCCCTCGCACTAGTAGGGCTGCCTGCCAGGGCTGAGAGTGGGGGAGGCAGGTGTAGCCACCTGGGAGAAACCCATTGGTTCCATTGGTGCTGTTGATAATCTTGGGATACTCCTGGGAGATGCCTAGTGAAGAAGAAAATTTGTTGGAGAATTGGGGTCTAGGGTGAGAAAATGCTAGGGATTGCTCCCTGGCCTTGAGGAAAGGGTCAGGATATTGCTCTGGGTGACTGAGAATTGATGACTCATTTGTTGCCCTCTGGCAGTTGCCATTCTCTATCAAGTGGAGATGAGTCAGGGCAAAGAGGAGATGTTTTCTGAAGAAGTGCCAAACCCTCCACTGGGGGCTTAAGAGAAGAATTCACAGGATGTGAATGTTTCTGATAAATAAGTGGAAATCTGACTTTCTTTCCACCTGCATTCTCTTTATCATTCCACCATGGAATGGATTGCAGGAGGTGGAAGTGATATTGACTTACATATCCAGCTAGGAAATATCCATCCATTCCTCCATCCAACCCTCTGTCATCTGTTCATCCCTTCACTTATTCATCCACTCACCCGTCCATTTATCCATCCATCCATCCATGCATCCATCCACCCATCTTTCCATCCATCCATCTTTTCCTCCTTTCATTCCTCCCTCCCTCCATTCATCTTTCCATCCATCCATACTTCCATCTATCCATTCTTCTATCTATTCATACCTCTATCTTTCCATCTATACATCCATCCATCCATCTTTCTATCCATCTGTACCTCTATCTTTCCATCCATCCATCCATCCATCCATCTTTCCATTCCTCCCTCCATCCATCCATCTTTCCATCTATCCATCCCTCCACCTATCCATCCATCCATCTTTCTATCCATCCATACCTCTGTCTTTCCAACTATCCATCCATCCATCCATTTTTCCATCCATCCATACCTCCATCCATCTATCTGACATCCATCCTTCCTTTCACTATGTCTTTGCTGGGTGTCTTGATGTCTTTAAATGTCACCTGTACACTAACCACTCCTGAATCCACATTTCCAGTCCTGAACTCTCTTTAAACTGGAAACTCAAATGTTGTTAACTTGCATGCCTTACAGGCATTTTACACTTTGTGTCCCCAACTTGATTTTTCTCAACCAAAACTGTCCTATTTAGTCTTTCCCAACTCAGTGCTCAGCCTCAAACCTGGAGTCACCTTTGCTTTCCCTCTCACCACCAACATGTCCTGCTGTTTTTATCTCCTAAATATCCAGATCTCTCCAGCTTCTCCACTACCATCTGGGTTCAAGTCCCATCTTGTGTTGCCTGATGACAACAGCAGTATCTTAAATCTTTCTGATTTTGCATCCCTCCAGTCCAGTGTTTCCAAAGCAGCCTGAGGACTCTTGGAAAAAGGAAAGTCAGATCATGTCAGTCCCAGGTTTGACTTTCTTTAAAATAAAGTCTCAAAATCTTTCCAAGGTTGTCAGGACTCTGCACCATCTGGCTCTAGGCAACCTCTTTGACCTCATCCCCTTTCTCTCTCTTCTTGTCTCACTCTGGTCCAGCCACATAGACCTGGCCTTCAAATCCATCAGACCTTTTATACTTGCTGTATTTTTCTCTCTGGATGGTTCTTCCTCCAGATCTACATTGTTCAATATGGTAGCCACTGGCTACATGTGGCTTTTAAAATGAAACAAGAGTAAATTAAAAGTTCAGTTTGGGGCAGTGCCTGTGGCTCAGTGAGTAGGGTGCTAGCCCCATATACCAAGGGTGGCAGGTTCGAACCCAGCCCTGGCCAAACTGCAATGAAAAATAGCGAGACATTGTGGTGGGCACCTGTAGTCCCAGCTACTTGGGAAGCTGAGGCAAGAGAATAGCCTAAGCCCAAGAGCTGGAGGTTCCTGTGAGCTGTGATGCCATAGCACTCTACCAAGGGTGACAAAATGAGACTCTGTCTCTAAAATAAAATAAAACAAAATAAAAGTTCAGTTTGGGCTGGGCGTGGTGACTCATGCCTGTAATCCTAGCACTCTGGGAGGCCAAGGCAGGTGGATTGCTTGAAGTCAGGAGTCTGAGATCAGCCTGAACAAGAGCGAGACTCTGCCTCTAAAAAAAAAAAAAGAATATAAATAGCTGGGAGTTGTGGCAGGTGCCTTTAGTCCCAGAGATTCTGGAGGCTGAGGCAAGAGGATAGCTTGAGTCCAAGAGTTTGAAGTTGCTGCTCTGAACTGTGATGCCACAGCACTTTACCTAGGACAGTGGTTCTCAACCTTCCTAATGCTGTGACCCTTTAATACAGTTCCTCACATTGTGGTGACCCCCAACCATAAAATTATTTTCATTGCTACTTCATAACTGTAATTTTGCTACTGTTATGAATTGTAATGTAAATATCTGATATGCAGGATGGTCTTAGGTGACCCCTGTATTCGACCCCCAAAGGGGTCACGACCCACAGGTTGAGAACCGCTGATCTAGGACAACAAAGTAAGACTCTGTCTCAAATAAATAAATAAATAAATAAATAAATAAATAAATTTTTAGTTCTTCAGTCACACCAGCCAGATTTTAAATGTTCAACAGCCTCAAGTGCCCAGTGTCTACCATATTAGACAGTAAAGATACAGGACATTTTCCATATATATATGTATATATATATATGTATACTCATATACAGAATATCTGCAGGATGGCCCTCAGAATCTGGAGGTCACATGTTTGGGTAATTCTTGATTCTGAGAGCTCAGCCTCAATATTTCCTCTTTGGAGAAGCCTTTCCTGGCCACTCTAGCATTGCCCCTCCTGGACCTATCAGTCCTTATTACGTCCTTTCAGTTGGTTTTCATTAGGACAATGGTCACTATTCATTTCTCTTTGTAATTTGCTTACATTTATTGATTTATTTTCAGCTTCTCACCTTGATTGTAAGTTCCACTGACAACAGGCACTTTCAGTGCTTTGCTCAGTGCTGCATTCCTAGGACCGAGCACTGTGTCTGCCATATCATGGGCGCTCAATAAATGAATGCTATGTATGACAAGGGCTGTGTCTGTGACTGGAGGGATAGCATGAAGCAGTGGGACAGAGATTTTTTTTGAGGCAGAGTCTCGCTTTGTCACCCTCTGTAGAGTGCATGGCATCATAGCTCACAGTAACCTCAAACTCTTGGGCTCAAGGGATTCCCTTGCCTCAGCCTCTGAAGTAGCTGCAGGCCCCCACCACAATGCCTGGCTATTTTTAGAGACAATGTCTCACTCTTGCTCAAGCTAGTCTTGAACTCCTGAGCTCAGGCAATCTACCCACCTCAGCCTCCCAGAGTGCTAGGATTACAGATGTGAACCACCATGCCCAGCCCCTTCTGTGTGATGTACAAATTACCCACCTCAGTTTCCCCAGCTGTCAAGTAGCAAAAGTAATAGTTCCTCTCTCACTGAGCAGTTGTTCAGTTCAATAAGATCCTGCATTTCAAAATACGCAGCTCAGCAGGTGGCACGGGGTGAAGGCTCAGTAAGTGGGGGCTGTTATTATTAATTATTAGTTGCAACAAGAGGTCCCTTCTCCTCCCTGCCACATTCTCCAATTACATGGCAAGTGATGGGATTAGCCCAGTGGATCTCAGTTAGGGACAGGAATCTTTGGGGGCAGCATCATTATGGGTGGTGGAGATATGAGCATAAGAAACACTAAATCGCACACTCTGATACCTAGTCACCATCAGTCCTCTTTTATTCCTAATTTTGATGAGGATAAAGTTTCATGATGGTGCTAATATGATTTTAATATCACTCTAATCCTCACTGAGCTCACTTTTTAAAACCAGAAGGGAAGTAGAAGCCTCAGCAGACAACCTAAACTTGACTGAATTGAACTATCTGCAATAGCCATTTGAGGGAGGTCAAAAAGGATCAAATGCTGGCCATTTCAAGTGGTCCAACCCAATGAACATATTGTTTGTTTTCATTGGGCAGAATCTATTTCTCTCTTTACCTTTAATTTATGGCCAAAGATGTTGTTTTCTATTTAGGACAGTGACATAAACTTTACTTTTGAATATGCTGTTGTTTCATTAAAAGAAAAAAAAAGAGCTGATTTTAAGAATAGTAGGTAAAATAAAAAAGAACATTAGGTTAAAAATTATGCAAATGATTTGCAGAGCCTCAAGTTGAGGATGTGGTACACATAGTGGACAACCTGCATTAGGATTCTGACTGAGGCATTGCTGGTATCTTTGGGGCAGGACCCTTCATTCTCCCAGTCTTGGGTTTTTCAGCTGTCAAATTGGAGTAATTACAGTGCACCTACCTCACCTGGCTGCTGAAGACTCTGCAAGACTTAGCGTGTGGAGTTCCTGGCCTAGGGTGTGGCACCAGAAGAGGCACAAGTCCAAGGAGTGTTGCCAAAGCAGAGAAACCACCCCATCTTCAGGCCAAGGATGGTGCCAGGTGCCAGGTGCCCTTGGACCCCTCCTCCCTCAGGTCTTGGCTCAAGGGTCAAGTTCATTACACCTCTAGGCTCCTGGCTTGACTCCTTGAAGACTTTACTCCACGTCATTCAGAGTAATTAATTATTAACTAGTTATTTGGGTAATTGTTTGAATAATATCTGTGTCAGTCCCCGCTAGACTCTGGGTGCTGAGAGCAAGGACTGTCTCTGCCTGCACAGCAACCAGCACAGTGCCTGATGCTCGGTTGCTGTTTGTTGAATGAATTATGCATGAATAGGGTTTCCAGAGAACCTGACTGCAAAGGTGGAGAAAGGGGGCTTAAATGTGAGGAGAGGGCTCTTTAGGGACCAACTTAGGGTGAGCCCTACATAGCTGGGGGGGCACCCCAAAGATTAAAGGAAGAACAAATTAGAAGGACCTGGAAAGGGCTATGAATGAAGAGACTATTACTAACAGAGTAGTAAAGACTAACTTTCAAGTCCCTTCTATCCGACGCACGTTGAACGCTCCACAGGCATGTTCTCGTTTTAACATTCACAAGAACCCTTGGCGATGAGTACTTGTACCATCTCATTTTGTAGATGAAAACAACTTAGGCACGAAGAGGCTAAGTTACTTGCTCAAAGTGGCGGCACTGGGGCGCAAACCCTCATCCTTCAGACTCCTCTCACCCTCTGGGAGGCCAGGGGGACCCGCAAGTGGCAGGAGTTGGTGTGGGGCCATTTTAGCAGCTGAGGTGTGCACGCTCTGAGACGGGACACCCTTGGGAGGAGTCGGGGTCAGAGGCGAAGAAACTGGGGTCATTGGACCGACTTCAGCCAAGAAACCAGGTCACGTAGGGACAAGCCGGAAGTGCTCTAGGTTGGCCCCGAGGGACCCGGCCTCGAGTGGGCGGGGGGCGGAGCTCGTGGCTCCCACGCCCC